CCCCCCGGCTCATTTCTCAGAGTAAATGGCATCATTTGAATCTGCCTTCATTATTTCATTGATTTTTCAGCTTCTAAAGTCGGTGGTACGTAGTGCATCCAGGAAATGCTTGTTTCTTCATTCCCCAGAGAAGAAGTCCGCTGTACCCAGCAGAACCTAAAGGGCTGACTAGGGAACCTTAACCTTGCCTGGCGCTTCCGACATCGGTTAGTACACCAGCTGATGGGTCTCTGCCAATACGAAATGTCACTTGACTTCCCGTAAAACAAAGGGTGGGGAGGTTTTCCACCTGATTTGTAACATGCTCTGTCTGTAATACCTCTTCTTAAAGCAAGTAGTGTATGGTGTAGGTGTCCTAGAACAGCAGCACGTTTATTTGAAAGCACAAACATAGTGGAAAGTGGAATTGATTTAGGCTATTTGCAGCCCAGGAGTCAGATCTTCAAATCCTTGTCTCTTCTCATGTTTTCATAGTATTTTTGATTTTGTAAGCCCAGGCAAGATGATGATTATCTCACTGACATATTGCATTAAATGGGCCACTGAATCTTAAAACATGTCTAATGTATTTGGATACGTGAGATTCTGTATTTATACAAAGAGACAATGCTAAAATAACTTGTTTTCTGCATCTTTTTAGGCTGCTTCTATAAAATGGGAATACTTATTGCCGTTCTTGGAATCTGGTTCAGCTCTTCACTTGTAAAAGGAGATTCTAAGGCTGTGACAACATCTCTAACTACAAAGTGGTCTTCGACTCCTTTATTACTTGAAACAAGGTAAGTGCATTATGGGGTTCTTTTGTTGACAAGTCAATATGCTTAGAGGATAAAGTAATGTATTCTCTCTTTCCACTTGTTCTGTGGTGCTTTGGATTCTGGTCGTTACTAATTATGGGCAGTAATAACACTTGCTTGAACATGGTCACTGCTGTGCTTGGGGAGATGGGAATTAATATTTTAGAGGAGAGAGTAGTAGTTTTTTGCGTGGTAAATTCTTTCATTGTGCACTAGAACAAAGATCAATAATTCCATAGTAAGGATTTTTTTGCCTTATGAATTTTTACTCAAGGCAGTAGACAGACAGGTTTAGCACTGTCTTGTAAAATTCCATAATAAAAGATTTTTTTACTTCAATGATGAGTGTAGGTTTTGAAGCTGTACCTGGTGGTTGTGTGTGTTTAGCTCAGTCAAGCTTGAGTATAACTTTGTTCACGTGAGTTGGGAATTGGTGGTCTAAAGTCAAGTGCTTTGTTAAGAGTTGTGCAAGTCAGCCTGGGGAGACTTCTTCTATGGTATTAAAGAGGTTTGTTTTGTTGGTTTTTTTAAAGATGCTAATTAAAAAGAAAAAAGAAAGCAAAATGCTGTCTTTTCACTGGCAGTCTCCTTAGCGCTTTAGAAGTCCCCATCATTTCATTTTGTGGGATTCTAATCTGGAGATGTCAGTGCAAAAAAGGACTTCTAGTTTTTTGTTTAAGTGTGTGTGTGTTTAATTTTGTATCGGTCAAGGGTGTTGCCATGTAGGGAACTCTGCCTGTGTTATCACAGGTTGGTTCACATGAAAATAGCTGAGCAGGGCTTTGGGTGACAGGACAGGTGTGTCCCAGGGGAAAGTTAATGCCAGGATTTAAATACCCTGGCAATGTGAGATGTTCGCTGCGGAAAGGCTCACCCTAAAGAGGCTGTGAAGTAGTAAGCAAAATAATCAAAGTAATGTGCCAAAGGCTTGATATGGAACAACCATTATATTTGGAGACTCTGGGTAAGCAGGATGGTTCATCAGGAATGAACTGCAGAGTGATACAACACTGCAGCATAAAATCATTCCTGCTGTTCAGTTCACTTAGCCCAGCGCTGCAATTCGTTATCCAATTGTTCAAGAAGTAAGATCATAGAATAATTTGGGTCAGAAGGGACCTTTAGAGGTCACCTACTCCAGCCCCCCTGCAACGAGCAGGGATGTCATCAACTAGATCGGGTGGCTCAGAGCCCCCACCAACCTGACCTTTCTAGGGATGGGCATCTCCCACCTTTCCAGGCAACTTGTTCCAGAGCTTCATCACTCTCACTGTAAAAAACTTCTTCCTTATATCTAGTCTGAATCTACCCTCTATAGTTTACAACCATTACCCCTTCTCCGATCACAACAGGTCCTGTGATCAAGAGTCCCTCCCCGTCTTTCCTGTGGGCCCTCTTTAAATACTGGAAGGCTGCTATAAGGTCTCCCCAGAGCCTTCTCTTCTCCAGGGTTGGACAACCCCAGCCCTCTCAGCAGAGGTGCTCCAGCCCACTGAGCATTTTTGTGTCCCTCCTCTGGACCCACTCCAACAGGTCCATGGCCTTCTGGCACTGAGGGCTCCAGAGCTGGACACAGGGCTCCAGGTGGGGTCCTCTCAGCAGAGGTGCTCCAGCCCACTGAGCATTTTTGTGTCCCTCCTCTGGACCCACTCCAACAGGTCCATGGCCTTCTGGCACTGAGGGCTCCAGAGCTGGACACAGGGCTCCAGGTGGGGTCTCAGCAGAGCAGGGAAGAGGGGCAGAATCACTTCCCTCACCCTGCTGGCCACACTTCTTTTGATGCAGCCCAGGATAGGGCTGGCCTTCTGGGCTGCCAGCACACATTGCTCATGTCCAGCTCTTTCATCCACTTGTACCCCCAAGTCCTTTATGGCAGGGTGGCTCCCAATCCTTTCATCCCCCTGCCCGTATTAACACCAGGGGTTGCCCAGCCCAGGTCAGGACCCTGCACTTGGACCTGTTGAACCTCATGAGGTTCACGTGGACCCACTTTTTGAGTGTGTCCCGGTCAAGTACTTGTCACCTGAGGTCAGAAATGTTGAAATGAACACGCAAGCTGTGGTGACACCTAGAAGGCTCTTGGGTTGTAGCATTCTTTAGCATGTGAAGCAGTTACCAAGTTTAGCCATGATAAAGTATCTGTTGTTAGCAATGTTTAAAGAATTATTTCATTGTCTAATATCATATACCTACCTAATCGTATGCTTACTATATGGTGAATTACAACCTCATGATTGGAAGCTGTGACTTCTTTTGCTCATTAAAACCCCGCTGTCTGTCAGTGGTCTCTGACAGATGAATAGGTGCTTTACAAGCTGCTTTCTTGTACTATGGTTGTCCTGCAACTATTATTTGTTTGGGTGGGTTCTGATACAGGTAAACATATGGTAGGAGGTGACTTTCTGTAAAGCTTTACAAAGTATTAGAATTGTTAACTTGAGAGGAAAGTTCATGGATCTCAGTTAACTCTTCTCTTCTTGCTCAGTGAATTTTTATCAGAAGAAGGTCAAGAAAAATTCTGGAATTTTGTTGAAGCCAGTCAAAACATTAAGACATCTGAACAGGATGGTAAGTTCTCATAATCTTTTTCTTGACAATGACTGATAGTTGACGTGGTTGAAAAATCAAGTAAAACATTTTGTGCTCCGTTGTGTTAGTGTTGTACAAGCCAAATGAGGACTGATCTCAGTAATGTTTTTACTGCAAAGCGCTGAAAGCTTTTGGATGTCTGTCTGACAGAAGCTGTGGTGCATGAGTCTGAAACGTGATTTACTTGCCAGTTTCTGTTTCAACATGAAGTATAAATGTTTTTTCTCCGTGCTTCTATTTCTCAACTGAAATTAAATGGGAGCTTTTAACTGTTTCCCTCCTCCCGAAGCCCATGTTTGCATCCTCAGGAATGTATATAAACGTCCTCCCATGGATCTCTATTGATGTTCTCTCTTGTCCATCTGTAGAACTGGCTGTAATGAACATTGAGGAGGAAGGGTCAAGTGCATAGTTACAATTAATGCCATGGCCTTCTGTTAGTATTAACTGCCATTAAGATGAAAAGCTCTTCTTCAGTGAGAATATGGTACAGAAAGGTAACTGCTTGTACTTTGCTTTGCAGGTAGCAATTACTACCATGAAATGCTGAAAGTGGCCTGCCAGAGTCTGTCACCATTGCAGCAGAATTTGTTGAAATTTTCCTTGTCTTTACGGTCTTACTCTGCAACAGTTCAAGCTTTTCAACAGGTCAGTACAGGAAATCCTCAGATGATTTGTAGGGCATTACCTAAGGCCCAGGAAGGAGTGAACTGCGTGAGGAGACATTTGAGAGTATAATAAATCCTGAATTGATTAAGTGCTCCACACATCTGAGCTGAAGAGCATATGGATATACTAATTTCACTGAGTGCCAAATTTGAGTCCATCTGTCTAGAGCAGACTAAAGAATTGGGATTTCAATATGTCGGTGTATCTTTGCCCGCTGCACTAATAAATGTGTGAAGATTTTTTTATGAGGAAGATCCCTATGGTTCTGTTGGTACTTGTGATGCTGCTGTTCCCATTATTCACTTGTACTTCCTTGAAGAGAGTAATCCATGAATATATAGCTCTAATGATTAGAACCCTTAAGTGGCAGTTGATTGTACTCTGTTCTTTTTCAAACTTCAGGTATCGTATAGTTCATTGCAAATTGTCTCATATTATGATATGCTTTATTTAAATTGTACTAGAAGATATCTTCCTTTTCCATCTGGAATTGTTTTATCATTTGATGTTTAACAAATATAGAGGCTTCTGAGGTGTAATGCAAAAAAACCTTAACCAAAACCCCTACAATTGCAAGCCTTGCTTTTTGTACCTGGAACTAATATTACAGTTAATAATAACAGACTGGGAAAATATTTATAATAAGTTAACTCTCGATTTTGCAGTTTTTACTGTGCATTTAAATTACGTAATAAAGAGGAAAGTAGTACTAGTTTGGAATTTAGGAAATCAAAAAAGACCCATTGCTACAGAGCTCTGCTGTTATCATTTTCACTTGTTCCAAGGGCAAGCATTGAACCTGCTTTCTTACAAATATTTTAATACAGATAGCAGCCGATGAACCTCCACCAAAGGGCTGTACCCTGTTTTTTGCTGTGCATGGGGAGAAGACATGTGAATTTGACTCTCTTGGAAACCTTCTACAGGCAGCTTCGGAAAGGTATTTGCTTAATTTCCAATCATTCGATTAGCTCTTAAAATTTAAGCCAGTTAAGACTTATTGCTGTAAAGAGATGGCACTATACTAGTAGTTTCTGCGTTCTTCAGTGTTAATTTATACTGGCCATTGAACACACAGAAGTGGAAATCTCTTATTTCTTATTAATCCAGATGGGAATGAGTGCTTTCTTATCCCTTGCTCTTTGATATTCTGCTAGGGGGAGGAATGCTTTCCAAGTGCGAGGGGAAAAGTTGGAAACAATCTCTTGAAGGACAGTAGGAATTCTCAGGAATATGCAAAGCCTTTAGTACATGGGGAGAATAGACCAAGCTAGGCTGTATATTAAAGTGATAGGTAACATAACAGAGATGGTTTCATGCATGGCTTGAAGCATGCATAAAATTTTTTCCCTGTATAATTTTCCTCAGCCTTAACAAACAAAACTATCACCACCCAATATATTTCAAGTTCAGATTTCTTTATAGAATTTTTTCCCTGTATAATTTTCCTCAGTGTTAACAAACAAAACTATCACCATCCAATATATTTCAAGTTCAGATTTCTTTATAAGAACAGAACTTGATTATAACTTCTAGTAACAAAAAGAAACTATAAAATATACACCGTCAGGAAAAAAAATATGCAACCCCAAACTTAATTTTCAGTTTGTCGTTCTAGTAACAAAAATAAACTATAAAATATACATCTTCAGGAAAAAAAAATGCAACCCCAAACTTAATTTTCAGTTTGTCTTCAAAATAATCCCAAGTTTTGCTTTTTGTTAGGCATAAAGGTGTTTTTTGTCACTGTGCAGACATATGGCATCTATAGCTCATATGCTATGCTTCTGACTCACTGGGATATTTTATGTATTTCATTGTTTTTTAGACAAAAATTAAAAACAGAAGTTGAAAATAGTCTTTTCATTCACTTTCTTGTTTATGCACTAAGCCAAGGATCAGGTTCTCTTGAATTCAAGTTCCTGGACCATTTCCTCTATTAGCCTTTTAATTTTTTTATCCAGAATTTACAAATCCCCATTGGGGAAAAAAAGAGCTAATTGAAAATTTAAGGGAAGTGGTTGAATTTTAAAATAAGGATTGTATTAGGTTCAAAATAGCGCTTAGTTACTTGTTTGATTTTCATATGTGTATTTTTAACAAAGCTTTATCAACATGCATTGAGTGCTGCCAACCTTGATAAAATATGGGAACAGCTTGATGTATGTATTCAGGGAAGACAGGAACAGCTATTAAACATGAGACAAAGAAATTTTACATCTTGCATCAAATGAGGAAATGTTATGAATCACAGTGTGATAATCTTCAATGTTTATTCTTAGGCCAAAGCCATTTTTGTTCAAAGGGGACCACAAGTACCCCGTGTCAAACCCCGAAAGTCCTGTTGTCATACTTTACGCTGAGATTGGCTCCGAGGAGTTCTACAGAAACCATAAGAGGCTTGTTTCAAAGGCAGAGGCAGGAGAAATCACTTACGTGCTCAGACACTATATTGCTGTAAGTATATTTCTGCATTGTAACAGAGGTGTTTGACACACAAAGGGTAACTGGCCTGGCTTTTGAAAAAATGGCCGAAGTTTGTTTCCTTTAAATTGACATTTGCATAATGTGTTGCTGCCTGATATTTGTTTGGAATACTCAGAGTTTATTTTTTATTGCATGTAGCCGAGGCATACAGAATCTCACAACTGTAAAATCTCACAACTGTTTAAATAAGAGGATCATTTGATTTGACAAATGCAGAGTTAAACTCCAGAAAAATTACAGAGTTTAATCTTAAAAAAAAAACAAACAAGTTGCCTTACCTATACTAGATTATAGGAAATAGTCGGATCTTTCCCAGTCAGGCCAATTAGTTACTTGATATGAAAAGCTGGGATTAACCTTACAGTACCATTTTCAGTATTGCATGTAGCTGAGGCATACAGAATATGTAAAATCTCACGACTGTTTAAATAAGAGGATCATTTGATTTGACAAATGCAGAGTTAAACTCCAGAAAAATTACAGAGTTTAATCTTAAAAAAAAAACAAACAAGTTGCCTTACCTATACTAGATTATAGGAAATAGTCGGATCTTTCCCAGTCAGGCCAATTAGTTACTTGATATGAAAAGCTGGGATTAACCTTACAGTACCATTTTCAGATGAAAGGCATTTTTTCTGTAGCATTTTTATTACAGAATCACTTACAAGCCCTAGCGCAATTTATCCTGGTTTCCATCTCCCTCCCCTAAATTGCCTGTAACCACTGGATTAGTGTTTAACTCTACATTTCAAAAGCTCTGAGAATTTTGAGTTGACTTCGCAGTTGAAGTTCCTTTCCCTCCTCTATCTGATTTGATGACATGGGTCTGTCCTGCTCTACTTGGCTTACACATCGAGTCCTGAAAACATTGGTTTGTGTTCCTTTTGCTGTGGTGGTTTTCAGAGTCTGTCCTGCTCTACTTGGCTTACACATAGAGTAACATTGTTTTGTGTTCCTTTTGCTGTGGTGGTTTTCAGTGTTGTTTGGGTTTTTTGGTTCATAGAAGTATCTTTGTTCTCTGAACTTCAACAAGTTTTGCTGAAATATAATAGGAAATATAATTATGACAGGACATTACTGCAGAATCCCTCATTGTATTTATTTCTCACTTATGCATTACCAGTTGTGCCTGAAATGTGTACTAGCTTGAGATTTTTTAGCTTTGGGAAATACCACCTTTTAGTTTGTACATCAAAACAAAGCCTGGCAATACTGTACGGTTGCTTTTCCTTACAGAATCCAAGTAAAGAAAAAGTCTACCTCTCTGGCTATGGTGTGGAACTAGCGATTAAAAGTACAGAATATAAGGCCAAGGATGATACGCAGGTGAAAGGTGAATTAATATTTTAACTATTTAAATTTTGTAAAGATAATGTTGTATTTCTTTTGATGTGAACGTTTGTCCGAATTCTTATTTCTTAAGCTCCAAAATCACTTCTCTCTCTTTTGGGATTATGTTCTTTATGAAACCTATCTTTGCCACGGCTCTTGTCTTCTGTTTGTGCCATGCTCAGCACACTGGAGTCATGACTCTGGACTAGATCTTAGTAACAGCACTACTAATGCAACTGATTTTTTTAAAAGATAACCAGATTCTCTGCAGATGTAAAGCACCTCTACCTTATCCATCCCTGGAGCAGAATGTGTTTCCTGTTCTTGTTCTTTGGGAAAACAGAACTTACAACTCTGCATGATACGTTTTGCTGCTTTCTTTAGAGCACTGACCTGTGTTGTGCAAACTCTCGTGCACTTGCCTAAACTATTTTTGTTAGAGTAATTGTGTGTGTGTATACTTCTTACTTATACCTGCACACACACATAAAACACCAGAATTTCCTGCATTTATCTTGGACTTAAATAAAAGAAAAAAATTGTATTTTTGTTGGGTGGTTTTTTTAGTTTGAGATGACAGTTGTGGAGAACAGAACTCAGATTTTGAATTGGATTCTTCAGGATTTTGCAAGTTTTACCAGTTTTTAGATAACAGAGATACAGATCTAAAGATCGACTCAGTATTTTGCCACCATCTAGAATATAGACATATAAAACCTTTGGTCTGTACTTGTAAAAGTATATAATTTTAAGATAAACTAAAACAGTAGAGGAGGTGATCCAATTTTTTTTTTTTTTTTTTTTTTAATTACTGGGGGAGATTTTCCTTTTAAATCAGTCATAAAAAAGTCATGCAAAGTCATTGTTTGTA